TGTTTCACATGAACTGTGCAAGATTTATGTTTCTTACCCAGTAAACACTCTAATTGGTTGTCCAAAATGAAGGAAATATATCTAGAAAATTGAGTATGGTGCATTCACTGAATCCTAAATGAATGTTCAGGTTAACAAATCTGTCACAAGTTGACCTTCTGTACTTGTTTAGCTCTGATGTGTGTTTCTACCAAGGCTTGCTGATTAGCCTTATTATTTATGTATGTATATTTGTTGTTCTGTATGTATGCCTTATTTGGAAATGGTTGTCTTGTATGCTTTCCTGGGACTCTGTAAACACCAGTTGGATAATTTTAAAGTGGCTTCCTTAAAACTCTACAACTGCTTGTTTTCCAATATCTCAATCTCTCTTTTTTGAATGGAGTGGTGTATCGCCAACACTCTTCTGGAGATCAAATCGAAGTAAACTTCTGTAGATATTTCAGGCACTGCTAGCACTAAGAAACTCTTCTGGATTTTAACAAATGAAGCTGGGCATGTATGTTGAGACATTCAAATATGCAATGGGAAGTAAATGTTCTATATGTGAACTTAAGAGACAAGTGTCATAAACTGTAGGCAAAATCTGTCAGTCTTTTCCCTGGTGCTTTCCTTCAGAAGCGAGATCAGAGACAGGGTCTTCTGTTAAGCTATCAAAAATGTTTTATGTAGTAATTTCGTATCCCTTCCCCATTTAGGATCCTTCTCTTGGAAACTGCAGAGTAGGACATTAAATCTCTTAGACAATTTCCATTTGAATAAAACAATATGAACAGCACAGTAACAAATTGATCTCCATGTGTTACTTGCACAGCTTCAAGGAGTTCCTCTGCTGCCATTTTTGGGGTCCCTGGCATACTGAAAGGCTGGGGACTGGAATACCTTTCTCTGTTAATTTTCTTAATACTCAGCAAAATCCTTTTTTGCCTTCAAATCTTAGTAGTATCAATTTGCTCCCGATTGGTGCCAGGGTGCCAATACATAATTTGGCAACAAGGATGGGTGAAACAATGGCTTTTTTCGGGGTGGGTGAGGGGAAGCCACAGAAGAGAGGGTGAAGAATGCCACTACTTGGGCTCCAGTGAATCAAATTTTGAGTGCCCCTCCCTCAGGGTCATGGGAATTTATCAGCCCTTTGAGGTAGGTCAGGCCAGGAAATGAACTCCCTAAATTTCACTGGCAATATACTATGTTGATATAGGCTATAACAGAATCTCAAACACCTGGCTGCATTTTCTCTTCCTTTCTTCTTATACCCCAGGAGTTAAGATGGTGTTTCTTCCCAATATTTTGTTTCCCAGCCTTAAAGCATGCTTGAGTACATTCTGTTGAAACTATCTGTGCATAGTTTTCCAAGGTCACCTCTGGGCTCAATACAGAATCTGGGTTGGTTGAGCATGCTGCAGTGAAGTGCTTGCAGGCTTTTTGAGTGTAGCAGAGAAAAGGGAGAAGTCAGTGAAGGGAATGAAATGAATCCTCCTAACTGTGCTGTGAGATGCATAGGAAATTCTAGTAGCCACTCAGAAGGTGGGCAGCAGGCTCCATTGAGAGAAGATGCTCAGAAGAGATGGGAGACAGTGGAATGCACTATTGTCCTGGCTGTTTGTTAAATTAAAGCAAATAAAGTGTCTAACCCTGGAAAGGTGATATCATGGCTTTGTTGGGTGCTGGTTCAGAGGAGTAGGAGTTGTTACCAGGACCATCTAATGGGGAGGACACAGTCCCCTCTGAATGAATGAAGAGTCCAGGGGCTAAGGACGAGGCAGCACCAGGGCTGTCTGGCAGTGGGAGGGGGGGAAGACAACTGGATGGAGAGCCACCTGCAGGAGTGGAGCAGCTGCAGAGGGCCAGCAGAGATGACAGGTTCCAGACCACCTCAGATGAAGAATAGCTGCCTCTCCCACCCGATTCCCGGGCGAGGAGAGCACAGTGGAGGGAAGCACAAAGGTGTCAGCAAGGCTGTTTGCGGAAGATACCTTATAGCTAAGGATTGAGAAGAATCAATCAATTTTTATGATTCACCTCTAAAAAGAGCTGAAAGCACTGGCAATTAATTAGCTCTAAGGGCTATGAATATTACGGGAACAATGCTTGAAAAATTATTTATTTGGCAATTCATTCATCAACATCAACTATATTGATTTTCATTTTAATTTTGCAGTAAAAGCTGTACTCAATATCTTGCATATTTGTACAGTAGTTTGCATGTTGTCATTGAAAAATAGAGCATATTTAGAATCAATGTTCATAGAACTAATATATGGAGAATGTAACAGATGTTAATCAGGCAATGATGGGACAAAATAAGCTACTGAAAGAACCTTAAATTCAGCTGGTGGAATATACATAGAAGACTTTACCTAAAAGAAAATGAATTAAGTGCTGTAAATATAGAACTAGCTACATCTAATTTCTTTTATCACTTTGTTCAGGGAGTTCTAAATTTCTAATTAAAGCTAGGCAATTTGAATGTTCCTTAGCAGAGAAATATTTGAAAATATAACCACTTTCCATTTAATTTGAGGATCTGCCTCAGACCACTATGCAACTTTCTCATTTCTTATTCCTTTGTCTGTTTTGTTAGAAAAATGGTCTGCTAAGCCCTTCAAAAAGAAAATGAATAACAGTTTAGGGGTATTTCTTTCTGGGACATTATGTGGTCATATTTAATTTTATTCATTCATGCTTTCACTCGTTCAATTTATGTGATCACCCATCTCAAATGCATGACAATTAAAAACAAAACAACATATAACATAAAGTAGCAATGCATAGCAAACATTCACAATCAATGCAGCTGTTGTGGTCCGCCAGCAGCCTGCGGAGGTGACAGCGGAGTCGGACAGCGATGAGGCCGAGGAAGAACATGGGCCAGTCCTGGAGGCTGGGGAAAGCCCGGATGAGGGCTCTGTGTTAGAGGCAGAGATGGGGCCAGAGCCATCGGGGAGTGAGGTGCGGACTCCGGAGCCTCCAGAGACTGATAGGAGTGAGGCAGAGGAACAGGAAGAGGCTGGTCCTAATGCACGCATGAGAAGAGCTGCCAGAAGGCAAAAGCAGTTCAAGCAAAGAGGACAATTCGGGAGTAGGGCCAAGAGATGATTGGCCCCTCCTATAAGGCTTAAAACAGACCAGCAACACTGTTTGGGCTTTGCTGGAAAACGTTGGTAGCTTCGTCGTCTTCTTCGTCTACGTCTTGTATTTATTTTTGTATCTGTGACTTCTGAACGTTTGCCAAGAAAAGTCTTTGGCAGTTTGCCTAATTAGACTAAGGTTTGCGATAGGACTGAGGAATTTATGTTGGGAGGAATTTGCTTTAATTTAGTTGAACAACACTGGGAATGAAGTAATTCTCAGATATTTGAATAAAGTTTGTTTGTTTTTTCACTGACTGATTTTCCTACTACTTACCTGGGCCTGGGTCACAACAGCAACCAAAAAAACAGGCTCACCCACATTACAAGGGCCCCAGAGAAAATGAACACCTATAAAGCTCTTCATGGCACAGGGCTGTTATTTGCGGACTTACCTGTTCAAATTTCCTTTGATCATCCCATGAAATCCAGCAGGGTAGCCATGCTTCGGGTCTTTTCTATAAAAGAATGTCATCCACTGGAACCTAGGAAGTATGCCTCACCCATGGAGTATCATCCCCTCAAGGTTTGATTGGCCTCAATCCTGCTGGCCTTTTGAAGACATTCGTGGAGAACATAAGATAAATCCATCAATAATGCTTTTTTGAAATGGATAATGGCCTTGATAATTCTATTATTTTGTTATTCTTTTTTTTTTTTGGTTCTGAGTGTTTGTTCTATTTTGCTTTTAGTTCTTGTTTTTCTGATTCTGTCCAATTGTAAGCTGCTGAGAGTGCTTTTGTGAATTGAGTCTCCATTTAAATCAAATAATACAGGTAGTCGCGGTAATTGAGCCACAGAGGTGCAGTGGTTAGAATGTGGTACTGCAGGCTACTCCTGCTGATCACCAGCTGCCAGCAGTTTGGCAAATCGAATCTCACCAGGCTCAAGGTTGACTTAGACTTCCATCCTTCCGAAGTGGGTAAAATGAGGACCCAGATTGTTGGGGGCAATATGCTGAGTCTGTAAACTGCTTAGAGGGCTGGAAAGCACTGGGAAGTGGTATATAAGTCTAAGTGCTACTGCTATTTCTAGTCCTCAATTTATGACCACAATTGAGTCCAAAAATTACATTGCAAAGAAAGATGATAGTTAAGTAAATGTTGCCTCATTTTACCTTTCTTGCCACAGTTGTTAAGTGAATCACTGAAGTTGTTAAGTTTGTAATATGGTTGTTAAGTGAATCTGGTTTCCCCATTTTTATTTATTTTTTAGCACCTTTAGGCTTCCCCATTGACTTTGTCAGAAGGTCACAAAAGGTGATCACATGATCTTGGGATACTGCAATAAATACAATATTTTCCCATATGAAGGATTCTTATCCCAAAATCCTGTTTTCAAATATATCTGGACCCTTAGTCCATTTGTAATTTTCCATTGTTTGCGGTTTATATTAAAAAAAAATAAGTCCATAAACTTGTATTTAAAACTTCTTTCACTAAGGAAAACACCCAGTGTTTTCAGACTAGTCAATCTAAGGCTCCCTAATAGTTGAAAAGCAGTCAACAAGCAATTTCTGAAAGTTAGAAATAAAGTTAGAAGAAGAAATACCCAAATTTAGTTGTTAAAGGTGCTGGCTGTGGTTTGAGCAAGATGACTATCACCTCATGATCCCAAAATTATAGGAGCACTTGTCGGTGATCTCAAGTCCTTTTTTTTATCCAGAGAGGAATGACAAAGAGCCTCTGTACTTGATGGATCTTCCTTCCACCAGTTGTTGGCTCTGTCTTCAGTTCATATTTCTTCCCTTAATGTAGGCAAATTTTTCCATGTCACAGTAAAGGAAATAGTACTGCCATCACAACTAAGACGTCCACCTCCTTTCCCCAAACAAGTCTTACTTTGGGATGACAAACTAACAATGTGAAATATTTGGAATCAGTTTATTTCCCATTCACTTGTACAATTAAGAATATGCATGTTTATTCAAAAAATAAGGCTACCAAAGCCTGTCCCAAAATATATTACAACATTCAAAATGCTTGGCTTTTACAAATGACACAAGTAGTGAGATGATTGGAATGAACAAATTGGGGACAGTAATGTGTGGATAGGCACTGTTGCCTTTCGTGAAGCAATTTCAATAGCCACTCAAATCAGAAGAGACAGAAAGTCATTAGTTACTGACAATTTAGTGGCTTGTATAGGGATAACTATGTCGTGTCACATCTGCTCTCATTCAACACATGTCTACATCACAGATGAGATCCTTATATAGCTGGCAGGCATGAGAGCTGGTGAAGGAGCAGATGGGCTTGGAAATAAAATTGCTTACATGCCCTCCCTCAGACTGGGAGAGTCTGCACTAGTTAGTTGTACAGAGAGCTTCAATAGTTGAATAGTAAAAAATGACCTGAACATATCATTTGAAAAATAAAATAAAAAATATTAAATGAAATTTCACTTGAGGGTCTCAAGTCAGATGCATGCTCACAATGTTCCAGTCAGGATTAGACAGTTTACCAGACTTTTTGGACTAACCAGAAAAAAGACCAGTAGGAATAATCCAGAACATGGTTCAAAGCATACTTCTCACAGAAATCATTCAACAAGGCAAATCTGTTACCATGCCTATCAACAAAGGGATATCCTGTTTCTGTCTAGTTCAATGAATATTCACCATTCCTTTCCTGCATCAGCACCTGCTTTATTTAAAGGAATCCATTCATTCCTCCCACCCCATCATAAAAATCAGATAAGCAATAGAATCAGCAGCAGCAAGTCTGTGCAGTTAATGTTGATGGTTCTGAATTCTGAATCCACTGGTACTTCTCAGAGTCCCAACTTGCCCTAAGGGTATCCATAAAAGAAAAGAACTCCCACCCCCAAAATGTGACCACTCTGAGAAGGAAGAGCAAATTATCTTCATTTTTGTGCCCCACTGAGAACTTCAGATGAAAGCTGTATCAAGTATTCCACTCCTTGAGAGAGAGAGAAAACCTTTCATACCAGTTCCAGTACCTGGTGGGAAAAAAGAGGGGAAAAATTAGCCCCAGAAACACAAAAACCCCTTTCTTAACCAAGGTTAGATGTGCTACAGGCAGCTGGGTTTTTATTTTACATGCCTGCAAATATAATGCAGGACGATAGTTATATTTTATCAAAGGAACATATGTGAAGCTGGTGAGCAGAACATGATCTCCCTTGTGCATTGTAACTGTTGCTTAATTGCTCTTCCCTCTAGTTCAGTTACCACGTATCACAAGCAAAGTGGCAGCGCAGCACTGTATTTAATAATAAAATTACTTATAATACTACACTTAGCTTTATGTGGGAACTGAAAAAAGCAGTGGCTGACTTTAGTTTTATTTTAAAAGAAAAAGGTGCCTTTTTCACTACCATAGGCTCCAGTTCAATAGAATAGGGAACTCTGTTCTGAACCAGTGTCAAAGACTCTTGTATCAAAATGGCAGAGAAATCATTTCACAGCTGATTCTTCTACTTGTAACTTCAAGCTTAATGGGGTAATTTTAATGTCAAAAGTTTTAAGTTAATAACCATCATTCCAGCATTGATATGGAAAGCAACTCAGAATATATCACCTCTGAACATGAAATCCCTCAAAAGCAAGGAATGGGGACGTTAAAGCAGCTTCATTTTGAAATCAGCTTTATTTGAAGCTGATTTGCAGCAAGTCAGGAGAAATGGCAGATGATCAGAAGGTTCATTCAGTTTCAAACTAGCTCCATAATTTATCCCAGCTAATGTAAAATAGATCCCAGTTTGTTTTCCAACTCAAGACTTATTTTTTTCAGAGCAAAGGCAGATAGAAAATAGAAATAACTGACTCAGTATTATTGACCTGAAATGTAGTATTGGGATGGAGTATTTACAGGATCAAAAGTCTATTACCAATCTATCTGATAAGGACAACGAAGAAATATTCCTCCATATTATCCAAGGCTTGGGTAGAGTCAAAGACATGCAGTTACCTAACAGTAATACGTGTAGCAAACAATATCTAGAATTTACTGTGAATCTGTATTACTACAGGAGAGAGTAGCATTTTATAATGGGTATATCCCTCTCTCTCTCTCTCTCTCTCTCTCTGGAAGCAAGCGTTAGAAATGTTCAGATGATTCTTCCTTTGGAGGAGATAACTCCTTTCCCCAAATTTAGAATAACAAGCCAGAAAGAGCGAAACAAACCAAACAAACAAGCAACCCCCCTGCCACAGGAAACATAGGCATAAGGGAGTGCAATGTAAGTTTTGTTGGCAAAACCTGGATGGGCTGGAGAAAGCAGATTCCTATATCCCAGAGTATCATTTTCTATAATAGACCAGTGTATTCATAATCTATGCTAACTATCATGGTGAGAACTGGACACTGTTTCAGCTTGCATCTGCCATGAAGGCAACAGTCATGGCCACTTTCTTCCTGCTGAGTTCCCTCTGCTCTTGGATTTTAAGTTGTGATAGCTGCCCCAAGGCCTCAGCCATCTTTCTTGTCATTATTGAGAATGGCCTCTGAGATCAGTGTTGCTACAGGATTGTCCATTAAGGAGAAGTTATGGAAAACTAATACTGACTGCAAGAAAATACAACGGCTAGGGAGATGTTACCCTTTGCTATTTTGGACTCTCCACTCAGACCTGAGGAACTAAAATATGTCAGGAAAAGGAAAGTATATGGTAGAACTGTTAGATACCAGGTCCATCTTTACTGCCAGTAAATCCAACAGGAGATCCATGGGAAAGAACAGTTCTGGTTCCTTCAGGCCTAAATTGTTACAGATTTTCCTGTGTATTTGTAGGAAATGTTCACATCTTTCTTGATGAGCTTCTTTCTCATCTAGGGATAACTCCTGTCCTGTGTGATTGGTCCTGAAGGTGGTGTCTAGTAGTATATCATATAAAGGAGAGATTGGGCATCTCTCCCTCATTCAGTACTGTTTTCCAGTATCCTTCCTTGTTTTCCCCAACAGGCCACTGCGGTGGAGAGTTTGAAAACAGTACTGTCCTTGACTTACAACCATTTGTTTAGTGACTGTTTGAAATTACAACGGCACTGGAAAAAGTAACATATGACTATTTTCCACAGCCCACTCCAGCATCCCCATGGTCACATGACCAAACTTAAGATGCCTGGCAACTGGCCCATATTTACAATGGTTGCAGTGTCCTGGGGTCATATGATAAACTTTTGCGACTTTCTGACAAGCAAAGCCAACGGGGAAGCCAGATTCACTTAACAACTGTGTTACCAACTTAACAACTACAGCGATTCATTTAATAACTGGTAATAAAGTTCATAAAATGGGGGCAAAACTCACTTAGCAACTATCTGACTTCACAACCCAAATTTTGGACTCCAATTGTGGTTGTAAGTCGAGGACTACCTATAACCTTCATCTTTCACATCCCTCATGGGTGTGTCATTGAAAAGGTATTGCTCAGCTATTCCATGATCACATCTGGAGGTCTTCCAGATGGATAAGAATTCACTTGCGATCAACTGTTTTTCACTGTGAAGAGTATGGAACAGAGATGTGGGGCTATGATGCTTAACTACTGGAGATCAAGCCTCTTGCTCAGCCTCAGCTATCAGGAAAATCACAGCGTGTGTACAAATTAGCAAATATACGTTCAGAATTTGCTAGCCCTGGAGCAAATTTTATCCATTTTATTCATTTATAGTAACTTTTAAAGAAAAACACACAAGAATAAAGATAAAAAAACTAACACTAATAGCCAATAATAAAACAAAAGTAAAAACATTTGTGGAAAAAAATAATGATGTGTTATCTCCTTCCCTCCTAATTATTTACCTAACTGCTAATTACAACTAAATATTTGCACTTTACATTAAATGTGGTACATTCAATATTATTGCTAGCATTTGTTGAAGAGATTTCTTCTATTGCTTTTAATTGGTCTCAAGACTCTTTTCCTAGATCCCATATTTCAAAGTTCTGTATTTGCCTTGCTGTGTAATACATAGTATATATGGAGCCATTCCTGCTTAAATTTAGTTAAACCTCTATCTTAACTACTATCACTTGCCATTGCTATATATTCCCATTTTGGTTTCCCAATCTTGTATGGTAAAAAAAAAATTCTCCCAATGCTGTGTCAAATTTATTCTTGATATATACTGTATCAAATTATATTTTTTCATCTTTTGTGAAACATTATAATTAAAAATATTTGTGATTTCCATTCAAATTTTATTTGTAGAATTTTCTGAATATTTTGATGTATTTTTTTCTAGTACTTCTGAGGGTTTTTTTTTTACAAGACCACCATATTCCTTATTGATTCTCACATTTCCAACATTTATTGTTATATGATTTGTCTATTTTGGTAATTACTTATGGAGTTATATACCATCAGGTTCTTGGTGCTCTCTAAACTTGGCTCTCTTCTTGCAGACATTTCACTATCAAACTAAATAACATCATCAGTATACCTATACATACTTTATCCCAATTTTCCCTTAAGCTGTATCAGGAAGTAAATTACATTGATTTCTTTTCCATAGCATTTCTTGTTAGTGTTCTGTGACTACTTTTTAGAAATTTTGCATCCACTTTAACAAAAAATTTAATTTGTTCCTTTTCCATATGTAATTCAGTAACAATTTATATATAGTATATATCCTAACAGGTGACCTTGATTTTGTATAAATGTTTCAATGTTCCTTCCTTCTTTCTTAAGATCTCTTTTTATTCTTCCAGCAATTTGTAAATATACCAACCATGTTGGATTTCTACTTTAATTGAGCAGTTCTTGCTGTGTCTTCAGTTAACTTTCTGAGTCTGGCCACAGAGCTTCTGACTCTAACAACTGAACTGAATAATGTAGTGGAAAAAGAAAAAAAATAATTAGATTGAGAGGGTCTTGGCAGTTTAAATGACTGATGGAGCTGACCAGTTGGGTGCACTTTGAAATTATTTCCTCCACAGGAAGTAATGTCAGTACATTTCTAAGCTCTGCTTCTTGTACAAGTTGGAGGATTATATTCACAATAGGATATTCACTATTTTTTGTGTGTACATATTGTACCTTTAAATTAGTAGTGTATTGTTTTGGGTTCTAGGAGGCTGTCAAAACTCCTACCATGTTGCATTATTTATGAATTCCGCCAATTCACTAACACTCTGGGCAATGTAAAATTGATGGAACAGATCTCCTTAGAGAGATTTAAAAGTTTTGAATAGGCATTTAATTGCTAATTGCTTTAGCTTAATTTTTAACACTTAATTTGGAAAAGACAACTGTGACTTTGTTTTTATTGTAAATCGTCATGATATTTTGATAGTTGATGTTATAAAAATTGATGGATAAATTAGTAAAATAAAGTAACTTCAATGTTCAAAGTGCTGCTATTGAGGTGTACATCAGAAAGGTTCAAGGAGAGGATAACAAATTTAATTTTTGCTCATTTAATGGCCAAAGGGAGATGTCTAAACATTCCCAATCCTTTTCATGAAGGCCAGAAAATTTGATCCATTTATGAGTGCTACCTGGAGAGACAATAAAGAACATCTCATATGAAACCAAACAGTGATAGGGATACTTAAAGGTTTGTGAATCTTTTTGAATTTTCAATATTTCTGCATAAGTATGATCTAAGATGTGATATGTTCTCAGAACTAGATAAACAAACCAAGCCAATTATACAAATGTGTGAAAAATGTTATACTTATTCATTGATTTATTAAGGCAAATGATCCAAAGCTATATATTTGTGTGCAACAAATACAGTCAGGTCCAGAAATATTGGGACATCGACACAATTCTAACATCTTTGGCTCTATACACCACCACAATGGAGTTTGAATGAAACAAACACAATGTGCGTTAACTGCAGACTGTCAGCTTTAATTTGAGGGTATGTACATCCAACTCAGGTGAACGGTGTAGGACTTACAGCAGTTTGCATATGTGCCTCCCACTTGTTAAGGGACCAAAAGTAATGGGACAGAATAATAATCATAAATCAAACTTTCCCTTCTTAATACTTGGTTGCAAATCCTTTGCAGTCAATCACAGTCTGAAGTCTGGAATGCATAGACATCACCAGAAGCTGGGTTTCATCCCTGGTGATGCTCTGCCAGGCCTCTACTGCAACTGTCTTCAGTTCCTGCTTGTTCTTGGGGCATTTTCCCTTCAGTTTTGTCTTCAGCAAGTGAAATGCATGCTCAATGGGATTCAGGTCAGGTGATTGCCTTGGCCATTGCATAACATTCCACTTCTGTCCCTTCAAAAACTCTTTGGTTGCTTTTGCAGTATGCTTTGGGTCATTGTCCATCTGCACTGTGAAGTGCCGTCCAATGAGTTCTGCAGCATTTGGCTGAATGTGAGCAGATAATATTGCCCAAAACACTTCAGAATTCATCCTGCTGCTTTTGTCAGCAGTCACATCATCAATAAATACAAGAGAACCAGTTCCATTGGCAGCCATACATGCCCAAGCCATGACACTACCACCACCATGCTTCACTGATGAGGTGGTATGCTTAGGATCATGAGCAATTCCTTTCCTTCTCCATACTCTTCTTTTCCCATCACTCTGGTACAAGTTGATCTTGGTCTCATCTGTCCATAGGATCTTGTTCCAGAACTGTGAAGGCTTTGTTAGATGTTGTTTGGCAAACTCTAATCTGGCCTTCCTGTTTTTGAGGCTCACCACATCTTGTGGTGAACCCTCTGTATTCACTCTGGTGAAGTCTTCTCTTGATTGTTGACTTTGACACACATACACCTACCTCCTGGAGAGTGTTCTTGATCTGGCCAACTGTTGTGAAGGGTGTTTTCTTCACCAGGGAAAGAATTCTTCGGTCATCCACCACACTTGTTTTCCATGGTCTCCCAGGTCTTTTGGTGTTACTGAGCTCACCGGTGCATTCCTTCTTTTTGAGAATGTTTTAAACAGTTGTTTTGGCCATGCCTAATGTTCTTGCTATCTCTCTGATGGGTTTGTTTTGTTTCTTCAGCCTAATGATGGCTTGCTTCACTGATAGTGACAGCTCTTTGGATCTTATCTTGAGAGTTGACAGCAACAGATTCCAAATGCAAATAGCACACTTGAAATGAACTCTGGGCCTTTTATCTGCACATTGTAATTGGGGTAATGAGGGAATATCACACACCTGGCCATGGAACAGCTGAGAAGCCAATTGTCCCATTACTTTTGGTCCCTTAACAAGTGGGAGGCACATATACAAACTGCTGTAAGTCCTACACCGTTCACCTGAGTTGGATGTACATACCGTCGAATTAAAGCTGACAGTCTGCAGTTAACGCACATTGTGTTTGTTTCATTCCAACTCCATTGTGGTGGTGTATAGAGCCAAAGATGTTAGAATTGTGTCAATGTCCCAATATTTCTGGACCTGACTGTATGTTGTGAAACATAGTGGTGGCGGTACTATTGTTTGGGCCTGTTTTGCTGTCTTTGGATCAAGACAGTTTTCTATCATTGATGGAACTCTGAATTTTGAATTGTACCAGTATTTTACAGGAAAACATCAGGCTATCTATCCATGAACAAAAGCTCAAGAGAATATAGGTCACATAGTAAGGCAACAATCTCCAAAACAGTGGTAAAATCCACATTTTTTTACTACCGGTTCTGTGGGCATGGCTTGGTGGGCGTGGCTGGAGAAGGATACTGCAAAATCTCCATTCCCACCCCACTCCTGGGGGAAAGATATTCCAAAATCTCCATTCCCACCCAATCTTGGGCCAGCCAGAGGTGGTATTTGCTGGTTCTCTGAACTACTCAAAATTTCCGCTACCGGTTCTCTGAACTACTCAAGATTTCTGCTACCGGTTCTCCAGAACCTGTCAGAACCTGCTGGATTTCACCCCTGCTCCAAAATATGAGTCATATAATGAAAGAATAGTTAAAGCAGAGGAAAGTTAATGTTTTGAAGCCATCAAGTTATAGTCCTGACTTTAATCCTACAGAAATGTTGTGGAAGGACCTGAAATGGGCAGTTCATGCACAGAAGTACAGCAACATCCCTGAGTTAAAGGTATTTTTTAAGGAGGAATGGGCTAATGTTCCTCCAAGTCAATGTGAACGACTGATCAACAGTTTTCAGGAATGCTTAGTTGCAGTTATTGCTGCCCAAGAGTTTACCAGTTACTGAAAGCAAAGGTTCACATTTTGCCAAACACAAATATATAGCTATGTAGATATTTATCTTAATAATAAACAAATATAATGTTTTTGACTCATTTGTTTTAATTGAATTCTTTTGATGTACTTTTGGAACTTATGTGGAGAACAGATAATATTTTAGGTTATACTTATACTGAAATATTGAACATTTAAAAAGGTTCACAAACTTCATTACTTCATTCTTTTGACTATGGCGTGTACAATATTTTAATTGCAGCTTTTTGTTTTCTATACATGTCTTGAAAACCAGTGCCTGTTAAATACATTACATTCCACATTTTTTCCTCAACTGACATTACTCCCGTCTCCTCAGTAGATGCAAATAAGTACTTTTAATTTATAAACAGCTGTACAAAAATGGAACTCTTGAAAATGTCTCTTCTAATTTTCTGTAACCTTGCTGCTATCCCCGGTCAACATTTTAAAACTTACCTTAATTGTACCCTGACTGTTAGCAGCAATCAATACATTGGACTCCTGCAAAAGAAGAAAAACTATTAGGCATTATGCTGCAGGCAGTAAACCAAGTAAATTGGGTGCTATTTGCCTTAACAATCAGATATGGTTGTCCCCAGCATTCAAAAGACTGTAGAATTTGACATAACAACAACAACAACAACAACAACAACAACAACAACAACAACAACAATAATAATAATAATAATAATAATAATAATAATAATAATAATAATTTTATTTATATACCGCCCTCCTCCCGAAGGACTCAGGGCGGTGTACAGCCAAAATTAAAACATAAATATACAATATAATAGTTAAAATTAATTAAAATCATTAAATAGTTTTGGCTGAATTTTAAAACCCAAAGTTAAAACCCAATTTAAAATCATTCAATTAGACAACCCCGCCTGTCGGAACAGTAGGATCTTAAGGGCACAGCGAAAGACCCGGAGATCAGAGATGCTGTGCCTGTATAGTTTGGGAACACCACCAGTTGGTGTCATGATATTTCAAGCCATCTGACATATATGAAATCATTGTTAGATCTGTGAACATGGGAAATAAGTGAGAAATTCAAATTAAAAAATGCTTCAACTGAACTCCATCACTGACTACTGGAACAAACTAAATAGGCAATTTTTATTATGTAACAGAATAGAGAATGATTGAATTTAACCATAATTTTGTAATCTATGTACTAATAAAACTCTTGTGTCTGTAACCTTTAATTGATGTACCATAGGATAAAACTTTGTCAACAAAAGTACTTCAAACAAGCAAATTTACAGAATGCCTGGACCCAACAGCCCAGAGACACTTTGGTGAGATGGGCAGTGTAAAAATTTGATTGACTGATACATCGATCTATCGATCAATCAATCAATCAATCAACAATCCTCCCTTGGGAAAATTGTGATGTTTCTGTGCTGCTATTGAAAATCTTCATTCTGTCACCATTCTGTGACAGTTTTGTGACCACTCATACAATTCCTCATTCTCTGCTTCTCCTACCTAGCAGTATACATGTTGGGAAGGGAAAGGAAGGAAAACAGGGAAGATTCGCCTTGCACCCTTCCTGTCCCACATCATCCTGCCTCACACCCTCCCTCTGTATCTTTCCCAGCTGGTGTGGCATCCCCACAAACCTATCCATGTGCACCTTCTCTGACCCATGTAGCACCTCATAGCACCTATAACTTTCCCAACCAATGCCACCCACCCCCCAACATATGTGCTATCTCTCATACACTCATGTACTTCTCACTTCCTGCCCCACATGCTTGCTAGCCTTGAACCTGCAATTTCTTACTGGCAGGAAGTTGGAGTTGCTTCCATTCCATTCCCACTGCTTTTTTTTTTTTTTTTTTGCCTGACTGTGGTTATTTTATTTCTCTGTTTAGGTGAGGAAATATCTCTGAAACGATGACCCAATGGAACCTGGATTGTCTAGTCAGTGTCTTCTAATATACTAACTAATCCTTTATTATTGTCAATTTCTTTATGCTCAGCAAAGCAATTCAACTTGCTATGTTGAAGCTCTCCAAAGGTTAAAAAAACAAAAACCCAGTTTATAGAACACCCAAAATCTCTACCATTGGAAGGCAAAAATATTTGGATGGAAAAGCATAAATTACACCAGATATAAAACAATTAATAGAGTCAAGAAGCAATAAAAGTAGTCAAGCATTTAAAGCAACTCCTTTGGTTTAACATTAAGAATGGGTACCCTATACAAGGAAATTGCAAATTAAAGTAATAATCCTAATACCTATAACAGTGCATGTTAAGGGCACAGTTTCCTAGTTATATTAATATCTATAATTATGGTTTTTATTTTATTTCTATATGTATGTATTATGTTTGTATTTGGTTTTAATTGATTTTATGATTATTTGACAGAGTCATTTGTTTGAGATGGGCAGCTGTAGAAATTGAATGAATGATTAATGATCAAAGTCTATCTATTAAATCAAAGACAAAAGTGAAATCAACCAATGTCACATAAAGTTGTTTTCTGAATCCATTGATATACTGTTGAATTAAGACCTTCAAAGTGACATAGTGATTTATGTGCTCTGGCTTTTATGAAATCCTACCTGCTCCTGATGTATAGAGTTTGTTGCTTCTTCCTAATCCCCCAGTTTATCAGAAGATATTAGGCTAAAGTTTGGAGTATGTCCAAAAAGGCTAGGAGGTATTATTGCCTGCTGTCTTTTTAAAAATTGGGACATATAATCCTTTCAATTTTCAATTATTAGATCTAACATGTCTATTTCTTAAAGAATATTTAGTTAGAATAGGGACTCATCAGTGGAAATTCTGATGATATATCTCTGGGGATATCATATATTCTCCAGGGACTTTTCAAGAGCCAATGCTATCATCTACTTGCATTCTAGTTCGAGACAGGTGACGACTCTGGTAATATATTGAGTTCTATGTGAGCATTGGTAAAATGCTATATAATACAAGCTATTAGTCACCAATTTCCGGAATTTTTCTCTCATTTTTTTGGGTGGTGGTGGTGAATTACACTGAGGCCGAAATCCACTTTATTGAGCTACATAAGAAATGTTTGGATTTTAATAATTATTTATATTGGAATTAAAATTGGACTAATAGCTGAATTAGAGAGTTACATTTATTCTTCCTAACTCTACTTTCAATCTTTCTTGAAGCTTGTCACTGAAACCTATAGTCATGATCAAGCCATCTCTTTTTTATACTGATCTTTTGGGGCTGTCATACAATGGTCACCTGAGCGTAATGCACATGATTGATTATGCTGAAAATTAGATATGTTTCAGTTGAATTGCAATATGAGGTCTCTTTGATTCAGCATCTGCTAGTTATTTAATACAGCTATAATTTTCTCACTGAAGTTAGAAGTTCATCTAAATTGATCTTTAAATTGAGTAATACCATCTGGATTACATCATCTCACAGGAAGAGGGCCCCTGTATAACAAAAGAGTCAGAAAGGGGTAGATAGAATTTCTCTGCTCTGTTATGAATGTCAAAAGAACTAACCTGAGGAAGACATGTAGGTTTGATCAGAAATAATCATTACTGCTGCTTTAGAAATGTATAGTGCCAGTTTGAGTGACCCAGAACAGTATCATGCAGATTATATAGACCAAATCTAAAGGACAAATTCAATAAGGAAAGCCCATGATTGTGTTTAATACTTTATTCATGGAGGATCAAGTGAGCTACCACTTGTCTTCTTGGCTAGCCTGGGTTATTCTGATGTAACTGTTAACATCTTTATCAATTCTGCCAGGCAATAAAATGTCTATGTTTGATAGTGATTGTTCAATATACTCAAAAAGTATTTGCAGAGAGGACCAAAACTTAAATCAGAGATTTAGATTCCTGCCAGCAAGGAAATAAACATTAGTACAAAGAATTGACCCAAAAGATTTGCTATCTACCTGGATTAGCTGGATATGACCATAATAAGACCAGACTTCTCTGGTATAATGTCAGCTGAAATAAAAATTGATATCCTATCACGTCTTTCATTCAAACCCTATTTCACTACTGGAAAGTAACATGAGGAGACACTTGACAAGTAAAGGCAAGAAACAGTCTGGCACCATGTCGTATGCAAAAAAATAGTATCAATTTTTTCCAAGCAGTATTCAATTTAGATTTGTGAATTCCTTTCCCCCCTCATCCTGTGAATGATTGATATTGAACAAGGGCAGATCACATACACATCAGAGGTGGGCAACGCTTTTCAGCCTGGAAACCAAGAAGGCAATCCTAGAGACTCATCAAAAATGTAATAATTTTCAGGGTTTCTCCCCCCCACCCCCCAATTGTTGGGAGATGTGCTAAAAGTGAAAAATGGGCACATTAAGCCTGAATGTTAACACATCTATTTCGGATATTTTATTCCCCTTGCCCCTACAAAAGTCCCAAACTCATAGTATCATGTTTGTAGAGTTTCTTGAAGAATTTCAGCAATGCTCTCTTGGAATTCTCTAAAGATGACAAAATGGGGGCTAAGAGGAATATATATGACCTTTGGGACACTTTAAAGTATAATGTATTATAATATTAAGTCCAAGAAGAGCAATTAACAATGGCTAAAAATAAAATTAATTGGCAAATGAAAGCTATTAATCTCTTCTTTACAATATGCCAGAGAGCGGAGGGAGAGCACATGAGGCAGAAGCAGTAAAGGAGGCCAAGTCAGTGCTTGGCTTAAGACTGAACATGAACACTGATGATCAAAACATATATAGTCCCATTGCCAAATGATTTTATGTGCTCAATTTATTTAGCTGTTGGTCTCACATGTGTGACTCTGGCAGCCCACAGTTAAAGTAGCAAAAATCAAAACACATGTAATAAATAACCCTAACCAAAGTCCAAAAAAAAAAAAAAAATTAAATTTAAGTCATATAAATTTTCTAAATAAATAAATAACATTAAAAACAAGTTAAAACAAACATAAAATAGAATGTGTAAGAGTACCAAGCAGCAGATTATGAACATCTCACAAACTGCATATCTCCATGGGGTCCCCAAACCTGATGGCAAAATCATGTCTCTGGGATCTTCTTAAAGGCCAGTTGGGGTCGGGACAATCCGACCTCGGGAGGGGGCGGGGTGTGACCCAGAAGGCAAGTTCCATGGCAAAAAAAAAAGGCTATCATCCTAAAACTCCTTATTAGATGGGACCTACTACATGCGCCCCTCTGTTGGATTTGATGGAATGGGCGGATGTAATCAAGAAGTGGTACTCTCTGGTCCCATGCCATTATTAAATTAATACTGCATGGAAAAATGCAATCATAGCAGACCAGAAGCCTTAAAATACTTTGAAAGTCATGAGGCCAAATAATATAAAGAGGGAAAAATAGGTTTGGAACCATATTATTTAATTTATAAAAATGTTTAAAAACTATATCCTTTAGTAATATTACTATTGTAAAAATGCAATTAATTAAAAAGCTATTTATTTCATGTTTGTTTTAGATACTATCAAGAGATGGAACTCTAGTTAAC